TGAACTCGTTCAGTTGATTTACAAGTAAAATGATTTATTCAAATATTTATACATTTTAATATTAAAACAATAAAATAATAAATATTTATAAATGTTTGTATAATTATTATAGTGTCACAGGAAGAGTTAACTTTTGTTTTATTTTCTTCGAAATGACATTTCATTGACAGATTAAAGGAATTTTTAAAAAGCAATTATTTAAAATCATGAATAGTTGATGATTACATTTTTAAAGTATATTTCATGGAACAATAGGCGTTTATTTCTTTAACAACATATTTTCAAGATCCAATATGCGATGATTTTTTTTAAAGAATATTTTTTTCAAGGGTCGATAGATGTGGATTATGAAAGAATATTTTTTCCAGGGTTTAACAAACGTGGATTTCAAACAAAACGTTTTCACAACAACAATTTACAAGTGGATTTGATAAGATTTTTTTTTTTGATAGTATACAGGCGTGGATTTTTATACTCTACCCCAAAAGGTGAAGATGGAATTCCACATTATTATCTTTTGTCCGTAGACAGATGGGTTATATGGGTCCACGTTTAGGCTTACTTAACTTATCTGGCTTGTGACAAAATTTTCGTTCCATAAGTCAGCACAAAAAAGATTTCCAGGCGCGTCGATCTTTTGCTCAGTTTTCCAATTCTAAAAACCATATTCGACAATGTTGTCTTCCACTTGATCTTTCCATCTAAATCGTAGACTTCTTCTTCTGCGTGAACCATCACCTGTTTCGCTTTTATATGCTGGGGAATATTCATACATTCTCACAACGATTTAGTTGCTGCAGCTCGATATCGACAGCGTTTCGTTTCATTCGACAGCGATATTCACTGTCGACGCTAAATTCTCTTTCGGAGAATTTTTCTCTCAAACACTCAATGAGCTGCCTCATCTGCTTGCGTAATTACCATGCTTTTGATCCATATAACAACACGGGTAGTATCAGCGTCTTGTGTGAGTTTGGTCTCTGAATTTCAAAACTAATGTCATTAGTTTTATTTATGGCGTAACCAAGGTATATAAAATCTTTGGCTACCTCGAAGCTGTAGTTCTCATGTTCATGTTGATACCATCAGCTTGGCCTTCTCAACGTTTTCTGACAGAACCAATTTGGCAGATTCCTTCTCAGTTTGTTAAAAGGTGGCTGTTACTACCGTTCGCAATGTTCGATCCATTATATCGATATCATCGGCGTAGGCGAGTAACATGTGGTGTTTGGTGTACAGAGTGCCATTTCTGTTCACCTTTGCGTCTCGTATGACCTTTTGCAGCTGGATGTTAAAAATATCACACGACAAACTGTCACCTTGTCTGAATCCTAGTTCGGTATTGAAGGGCTCCGATAGGTCCTTTCCTACTTTTACTGCTGACCTTGTGTCACTTAAAGGTATCCTGATAGCCGAATTATTTTTGCAGGAATGCCAAACGCTGATATGGCTTTGGGAAGAACACTTATTCCTCTATAGTTGGCCCTTATCGTCTTGTCTCCTTTTTGTGTGCATGGAATGCTGAGGTTGCAATTATTGGGCATGTATTCTTCTAGCCAAATTGTACTAATCAGCTGGTGCATGCTCCTGACCAGCATCTCAACACCAGTCTTGAATAGTTCGGCTGGTAACCCGTCGGCTCCTGCTGCTTAATTGTTCTTGAGCCGCTTTTATGACCTCATCTTGGCTAGGTGGTATACAATCTATACCGTAATCTCTTATTGGTTCTGAGGTATCTTCTTCACCGCCAGTTTTAGATACCAGAAGTTTTTCAAAATGCTCCTTCCAGATCCTCAACACGCTGTCTGTATCTGTCACCAGGGTTCCTTCTTCATCTCTACAGAAGGATGTGCCTGCACCAAAACCTTCGGTTAGGTGTTTTACTCGTTGGTAAAATTTCCGGACTTCATTCTGAGTCCTGTACATCTCGATTTGCTCACACTCACGTTTTTCTTGTTCTTTCTTCTTTTTTCTAAAAAACACGTTTCTCCTCTCTCCTTTTCTCCCGATAATTCTCCATCACATTACGTGTTGCTACTATCTGCAGGGTTGCCCTATATCCTGCGTTTTTCACATCAGTAGCATTACGACACTTCTGATCGTACCGTGGATTTCTTGGTGGTGGTTTTTGGTACCCAAGTGTTTGTTTTGCTGCAGTTTGTAGGGAGTGGGCAATTCTTTGTCATTGTGCTTCTATACTATTATCGGGACAAGAAGTGTTTTCATAAGCAGGTAGGTAAGTTGAGCGGATTTGCAGCTTTTCGACGCCGAGTTTCCGTGTTGTGTTAGATCGCACCTTTGCTGCTACATTAAGACGAGTGCGAACCTTAGCTGCTACAAGGTAGCGATCCGAATCGATATTCGCTCCTCGGATCGATCGAACGTCTAATACACTGGATGAATGTCTTCCGTCCATCACAACATGATCAATTTGATTTCTCGTTGCTTGATCAGGAGAAGTACAGGTGATCTTGTGTATATCGAGATGCTTGAATGTGGTGCTACTAACTACCATGTTTTTTTTTTGCTGCAGCCAAATTAATGTCTCGTTTCATGACAGCTATAATACACGGCGTAATCATCTAATTTACTTCCGCCAGCGCCTTTCCATCGCTTTGCCTGTAAGGCAACATCCGCCAAACCGAAAACTGCGCCTGTACAAAGCGCGCACATTCCAAGTTCAGATTCGCAGATCGTGGTCATTTATACGTTTGCGGTGGTCGTCAGCATTAGGGGGGTTTTGTTTTACGTGTGTGGGCAACTAACTCGACGCCTCAACCCATTTTTATAGTTCTTCACCACACAGGGCATTATGTACGATTTTCCAATTTCGATAGGGTTCGTCGTTGGGCCAAACAAATGAGCTGTACCAAATTTCATCCAAATCGGATTATAAATGCGATCTGTACTTTGTTCACAATTTTACACCAACGGACGGACGGACATGCTTAAATCGACTCAGAAAGTGATTCTATACGTATTCTCAAAAGGAACCATATGTCTATCTCGTTTCCTCATCTTCCGACCTGCAGACATGAGACAACTTTATGCAAACTTTTGGCGATCTAACTCAATTCGTTTAAACGCTAGAGTGATTACAAAAGAAAGACGGACTTGCATAAATTGTCATAGAATTTTACGCTGAAGAATATATACATTTTATACAAATATACCCGGTTATTGATCTAACCCAACGATCTATAACCGGAGTCGGTTCACATATAGACACAGATCACATATTCAACTTTGTCGAATTTCATGTCAATGGTCTTTCAAAAATTCAAGGTCTGTAAGGAAGTATTTCTTGAATATAGCCAAAGTGGTAAATGGTATCATATTGTCGGCCCCGTTCGAATTTACTACGTACCTTACTAGTTTTTATAGTTCTTGTGGGTGAAATCGCGGCACATATCAGCTCACTACTTCAAAAATAGCTGAAAATAGCTACCCCAGGTGACATCGAGGGGAGGTAAGTGTCCATATTTGAGATGAAGGAGGGACCAAGATTCGCATTTTAAAGCCCATCAGAACCATTGCTTGATATCTACCATCCCCTACCCTAGCTTATTGCTTAATTTATAAAAAATATTTAAGTTTTAAAAATTTATGATTTTGAAGAAAAAATCTCTGGCATTATCTGGGTTAATAAGAGAATGTAAATCATAAAATGGAAAATATTGAGTGATAGTGAGTTATTTATATTATAACCCACTTATAATCAAAGTTTTTTTTTTCCTAGGACTAATTTGCAATAATCACGTAAAGGGTTTTCTATCCTTTTTGTACCTTAATTTTCAAAAGACCTTAGTGTATACAGCATGGAAAAGGAAGATAAATGTATATCAAAATAAATATATTTTATTTTTGATAGAACTTTTTCGTATGTAAGGATGACCTGTTACTCCAAATCCTTGACATAATCAATTTAGAACTTCTTGCGTTATTGTGATTACACTATCTACCAACAAAAAAGTAAGGGAAATATAGTGTACAACACTGTTTTAAATATTTTTCAACACAATTTCCATATTAGTGAGCTCCATCAGTTTTGAAGCCCTTAGCCTAATTTCGAGTCGAATGGCTCCTATATGGTACTTCATGTGATATTGGGAATATAAAGTAATCAATTGTGACAAAAAAAAAAAAACAAACAAATTCATCTTAAAAGAAACTTTAAAAAAACAGTTTCATGTTCTTCTGCTTAAATTCATTTACTTATTTCTATATAACTTGGCTGAAATTTATATTTAAAAACTCAAATGCAATTTCGACACATGTATACACATATTCAATTTTCATTTCATTGTTCAATAGTAACGACCGAATTTATAAGCAAATCAAGTTTTATTGTTACGCTTCGTTATGGATGCAAATATAAATTACAAAGTAACAAAAAAATCGAAAACCAAAACAAAAACGAAATCAAATCAGCTATACCAAAGCAAAATTCTCTGTTTCGTAGACATTGCAATAACATTTAAATTTCACTAAAAATTCAAGCAATTGTCGGATATTTACAACAAAATAAAACAAACCATTGCGATTTACAATAAAAAAAAACTACAGCATTTTTAGGTGCAAAAATTGCAAAACAAATACAACAAAAACAAGTGGCGGAATACCATCAAAGGATTGTGTGGTTTTTGGACCACGGCAAATGTTTAACCAACAAAAAAATACACAACACCGAAAATGCTAAAGCAAAAAAAAGAAACCAAACCGAAAAATACTCGTTTGAAAATATGTCCTTAGCACACACACAAACAAACAAATACACTTTAAAAATATATACAAATACAATGTCGCCACCTCCCCTCCCCCAAAACTACATCAAGTGAAATGAAATTCAAATGAAGGACATATAGAAAGTGAATGCAGTCATTTTTTGTAAAAACAAAAAAACAACACCAACATCGCGACAACAACAACACTACAAATGTCCTTTTATGTTACACAATGTGAATAAACAGGATATGCAAAATAAAACAGAAACAACAACATCGAAATAGCAACTTACCTGCGAAGGTGTGAAGTACCACGTACTAGACCGGGTGTACAGCAATTCACGGTAATGGAAGTGTCTGCAAATGAGCCAAGCCATTCAGTCAGTCAGCCAGCCATCCAGTCAACCAAACACCAAGGAGTCGGGGGGATGCCAATGGGATGAAATAGACAGAGAGAAAGGAACGCCATCATACATTTGAATATGTTCAAATTTGCTAAATTTTATAATTCAATCTCATTTCTTTTGTGTTTCGAATATTTAATGAGACACAACATTAATTTGCATAAACAATGGGTAAAGCGATGGCACATTTTGTTCAACAACAAAACTCTTGACTATGAAAATGGGTTGTAGTTGTTGTTGGTTGTGATGGAGTGTGTGTAAAGGTGATATGGCCAAGTTTCAAAAGTTTATATTTTAAATACAGTGGGATACGTCTGTATAACTTAATGAGTACTTTCCAAAAGAAACAGCCGAATTTGGGAACTAAGAATTTAGATTGTGAGCCAATGTTGACTCTTGGGCGCTGTTTAAAGATTGGAGATTTATCTTCCATAATAGTATATTCATTTTGTCATTTCGTTTGTATGTCGCTTGTATACCTTCTGTCAAACTTCGTGTAAATCGAACAAACATAGGCCCTTCGGTTCACCATTTACTTAAAATCGAACGAAAATATATATAAGACCTATATCAAAATCTGAACCGCTTTCAACAAACCATATCATACATCATTTTTTTCTCAATTGCATCAGCTATTCAAAATTTTGTCTCAATAGCACACATATTCACAAAAAATCGGACGAAACTATATATGGGAGCTATATCTAAATCTAAACCTATTTCAACCAAACATGGCATACATCACTCTAGACCTAATTCAATACTCTGTACAAAATTTTTTCTCAATCGGACCAATATTGGGAGTTTGGTGCATCATTTACCTAAAATCGGACGAAATTATATATGGGAGCTATATCTAAATCTGAAACGATTTCCTCCAATGTCAATAGGGTTCGTCCTTGGCCAAATAAGTGCACTGTGCCAAATTTCATCCGAATTGGATCATAAATGCGACCTTTACTTTGTTCGCAAAATACATGGACGGACAGTCATAAGTAAATCGACTCAGAAAGTGATTCTATGCATATTCCCAAAAGGAACCATGGTTCTATCTCGATATATTAATATTCGCCCATTTTTGAATGGTAGTCCTAATATAATTCACTTTATTACTTTAATATGGTTAACTGATTTGTTCCGCATGTTGGGGTTATCCCCATATAGGCGCATTTCACCATAGTTGGATGGATATTCTGTACTGGGAATTGCCAGTTTATACCTTACAAATTATGGAATTCCAGAACATCGTTCTCGAGAATGAACTATATCTGGCCGCATATATGCCTAACCCCACCCCCCATATACTGAAGGAAGGTATTGAAATACAAAATATACGATAAGTTCGAAAAGAGCTACATCGGTTCTTAGTTAAGCATAGCCCCTCATATAATGAGAACCACAGATATTCGCTAATTTATAAATCATGTAATCAAATCCCGTTTTAAGTATAGCCTCATATATTTTGACCTTTAAATTGCAGTATTTTCAGGATTTTAAACACATGTTTCACCCTACTATGCGTTATCAATATCGGTCCACGTTTTGGTGTTTTGATATTTTAAGAATTAACAAGAAAAAATGTGTCAGTCGGTGTTACCGTCAGATATATACCCTCAGCCTATGACTTGTGTTCTTCGGAATTACACACAGATTCTATTATTCGCTTTATCTCTTAGTTTTTATTAATGAGGTTTCGGATTTAATGTTGATCAAATCGGTTATTGAATTCACTTCAAATCAAATTTAGAAGTTTATAAAATATTCACCTTTTTTAGGGAAGGTACCAGAAGTGGAGGACCAATGGGTCCCATCTGATCTAGGCTTGGTAAAGACAATAGTTTGTACAAAATTTCGTTCAAATTGTATAGTTCGTTCGTATTATATTATACAATATAAAAAATTTTGACCATTTTGTGGGGGAGCTACCAGAAAGAATGGGCCGATATTCCACATCTTCGAACTAAGTTTGAAAGAAATATTATGATAAGCAATGCTTGGATGAAATCGATTACTGCTTTCGAGAGTTATCGTGCGCACCAATCGGCCAAACAGAGGGACATTTGTAAATATACACCAAATTGCCTGAAATAGATTTGGTCCAAAGAAACATGGGACCTAAATATTTCGATGATGCACATTTTTGCCGTAGCAAACAAAAAACAAAATAACAAGCTGAATTTGTAATTCCAATGAGGCGAAATTTGGCACATACAAATTATTTGGCCCAAGGACGAACCTCATTGCTGAAGCGTTGCTTCAGATTTAAATAAAGCTCCCCTACATATTTTTGTCCGATTTTACAATAGTCCGCCAAAGTTCCAATGTTTGTCCGGTTGTGACAAAACAAATATAATAAAAAGGTTCCATAGCGTATAAGACTGAGCCTAGAATGAAGTGTGTTAAATGTTGTCTCAAATATTTCTATAAATTGGCTAAGATTTGGACATTTTTACTTATTTTTATTTTCGACCGATTTTTTGCAAGCTGAGCACCAAATGATCAAATGTTGACACAATGTGCCGAATTGAGCCTAGAATGACGAGTATTATGCTTTGTTGTCGGTTTCCGATGTTGTACTGCCGTTTATAACGGTACCCCGTCATTTTCGATATTTTGAATATCAATGCAGAAATGTACAAAATTCACCCATGTCTGGACATTGAATCCATATAAGAGACCCGAAACATTTTGCAACAAATAAAGCCACGTTTTTCCCACCGTACTTCATAAAAAAATTTGTCGATGATGGTTCACATTTTGAGTATAAAGGTCTTGCCAAATTTTTTGTGTGATTAATGGTCTTAGCGAATTTCCCAAACCTGAATAAATATGATTTGGTATTTAATTTTCTCAGATAATAAAAAAATCTCCTGTCAGAAAATTTACAGAGGCATATCTTCCATATAAATGTGACTACCGATTTAGGTTTTTTGCATTAATGAGTCCTTTTCCACCTCAACGGGTACGCCAACAAGCATATTTGTCGCATCAGAGCCTGCTATAGAGTATCCTCTCAAATTACAACTATATAGTGATCATTGAACCTTCCTTTTCTCAAAAACTGATGGACGTGTCTAGGCAACGTGCCTATTAATATCCACGAAACCATTAATATTTTACGGTCCTCCGGTCGTTTTAAATTAATTATACCCTACAAAACTATGTTGTCAGGGTATTTTAGCTTTGTGCAGCCCCAAGAGTTTGTAACGCCGCGAAATATTGGACCTAGACCCACCTTTAAGTATACCGATCGTCATATCTCGACTAGCTGAGTTGATCTAGACATGTGTGTCCATTATAATTTGTAAACAGTTTTGGACCAATCTTCACGAAATTTTGCATGTAGGATGGGTTCGGGCCAATGAAGACCCCTATTGTTTTTGCTAAAGATCGGTAAATATTTGATTTTCTGGTCGCTCCAGAGGCCGCAATTATGGCCCAAACATTACAATTTTTTACATGGAGAAGGGGATCGGGCCAAAGAATAAGCATGCCTGTTTTGATAAAGATCGGTCAATATTTAGCGGGTCAAATGGACCCTGACTTTTGTGTGAAAAATGACAAAAATTGTGTTCTATGGCGTATATAATTGCTCCAGAAGGATACAGACCCGAGAAGTTGATAGTATATCCAAGAGGAGTGATTGACCTTTACATTGATACCAATTATATAGTCGTATGTACTCGGATGTGGAAATTACACTTAAATATTTACAGGTGCTTACGCATTCAGATATTATTTAGTAACCCATTACCACACAAGAGGGCGGAAATATAGCACTGATCGCTTTGAAATTTTCCATGAGGTTCCAGTTATGGTCAAGGACAGCGCCTATAATTTTCGGTTATGATCAGATAACACTTTCGGGATGAAGTGGACTGAAAACTTTTTTTCGAATCGATCTATAGGCCACATATATAAACCGAACATCACAACACCACCCACGGTGAAGGGAATCTGTACTGAATATTAGTAATATATGTTGACCTCTAGTCAGTCAAGAGGGTGCAAATATAGCGAAATATGACCTTAACTTAGAATATATAACCACAGAAAGTTAGATTTTCGTGGAAGTTGTGTAGGGTATCACATCACTTCCGACTATATTGCTCCGCTCACTGGTTTTACACCTCGCGAGTTAATCTTTTTGGTCCATTGGAATCCCAAGCCCCCTGTGTACATCGATTGAGTCCTCACCGATAAAATTCGTAAGGCCATAAGGGAAATAGGAGAGTATTTTGGGGTTGATTTATGGATAATTGCTTAAAAATTATATTGCCCTGAGGCAATCGTGATAACTATCGGGCTAATATTGTTTCGTTATTAACGGTAGCTTCCATTTTCTTCTGAAATAAAAATCCAATCATATATTTAAATGAAAATTTTCTTGGAATCCCAAAAACCAATACTATAAGTATTATTGGGTCAAATTCGAGGTATACACCCAAATGTTGTTGATATTATGGACACATTTTCAATCGAAATGAATTTTCAGGCCAAATTTATTATAATTGGTAGCCTCCATAGATAATAAAGGTCAATAGTTTATGTCGGAAATGTTATGAAAATTTGCAATTTAGTATCTTTTGGTCTACCATGGGTTGTAAGGTATTCTTGGAAAACATTGGTCCAATTACGTGTTTTACAATAGAGAATAAGATGCCTACCATTATTCATTTCATAGAAAGTTTTAGCCCCTCTTTCCAAAATCGTTCGCTGTTGTATAGTGGGCGTTGGAAGCCTAATTTCAAGTTACAGTCATTATTAAAAGTTCAGCCCAATTTGACTTATCATACAGGTCATCTCCAAACATGGACGTATATTTTCGGACGGGGGTACTTAGGTGGAAAATACAAAAGGGCGAAACATTTCGAGCTCTTACTGACAGACATGAATATTTTACTCGGATCTAAAATATACACTTTATGGAGACTATGAAGAACTTACATTTATGGGAGGACTTTTTCAGCCATTGAGAACCCAATTAGCCCTTTTACAGCCTCTTGGGCTGTAATTCCGGTAATGAGAAAAATGAAAGAAAATTATTCACGACACAATTTATTGTATTGCATTACGATTGGTTTTTATTAAAGATAAATTAAATAAAGGAAATATATAAAAAAACACCGATCAGTGTTGGTATTTGCTCACATTTCCCATTTCTGCTTGCCAAAAAATAAAAATTTTCAATAATATCCACAACTTTTCTTTCAAACCACGTACCAATTTACAACCACATCATTCAACCCACTGTACAATAAAATATTCAAAACATCAAAAGAAACCGCACCAACAACAGCAACGACAACAAAAGAAAACTCAAAACACACTTACCTTTCAATTCCTTTGCCATCCATCGTGTTGCCAAAATGACAGCCAACTTGGAGTGGGAAAAAGCATCACGTGGATGAAATTTGGTCGCCCATGTACCCACATTCAATGGATCATCAAAATCCATTTTCGCCGAGGCATGAGCATGTGCCGATACATTTATTATGCGTCCATTTTCCGATTTCTTCAGGTGTGGCAGGAGCAAATGCGACAATAAAAACGGTGCCATATAATTGACTTGTAGATGCTGTTCGAAACCATCTGTGGTATTGGTTTTCACCGGATCGAAAATGATGCCGGCATTGTTGATGAGTACATCAACGCGTTCGAATTCTGCCATTATTTTGCGTGCAAAACGTCGAACGTTATCGAACGAACGTAAATCCAAGTAACGAGCTTCCACAAAGAACATATTACCAGCACCACCACCACTGCTGCCATCGACATCTCCACCACCGCCACTACTGCCACCATCGGCAGTATCGTTTCCATTAACATTAGCTTCAGTGTCATTATTACCGCTTGACGATGACGGGTCCTTTGTGCCGCCGTTTGTGTTTGTTGCAGTCTTTTGTGCGTCCTTCAATACCTGACAGCTAAGTTCACGTTTTATAATTGCAGCTGCCTTTTCAGCAGCTTCCATATTGCGACATGCCAATATGACACGTCCTCCGCGACCGGCCAATGCTTTTGCAATTTCAAAACCAATTCCCGTATTGGCGCCTGTGACAATTACAATTTGATCTCTGATTTGATTGTCATTGGGACATCGTTGACCGCTCATTATGGCCCTGTAAGTAATGAAAGAACAACAAGAAAATGCTGGTATTAGAAGTCCATTGCGACCACACCAAATGCCAGGCACTCTATTGTTAAAGGTGATCGATCCCCCCCATGGAATGCTGACCTGCTGGCTGGCTGGTTAGTTGACTGGTGGCGCGTTTGATGCTGTATTCGGCCGACAATCAGAACAATCACAGCTTAATTATACTCTCTGTTATCCTTGTGGATATTTGAACAATGGTAGGTAGCAATCACGTGGCATGTTTGCTTTCAACACATTTGATTGGAAATTGGAAAGATTTTCATTTTCAAGTGACGCCAAGGAAGGAGAGAAATTAATCGCGTTTTTTGGGGGGAAGAAACTAATGTTTTGTTAAAGAATCGCTGTTTTTGGCAATCGATGTTTGTAAGAGGTATTGTGTAAAAAGTAATGTGCAACAACAAAATGATTTTTATGTAGCAAAGGAAATATAAGTATGTACTTTGAAATACGCTTATTTGAAGAATTGAAAGGGAGTGTAAAAAATTGAGAGGAAATATAAAAAGTTATGTTTTTGCTTTGCCATTAAGGATTTAATGTATAAATAAGTGGATTGGATTAATGCCATGAATTTTTGATTTTATGTATTTCAGTAATGTAATTGTGCACTTACTTCGCATACATTTAACATACGACGTTTAAATCATTTATATAAAATATTTATATTCTTGATCCTGTGACAAATTATAAATCGATTTAGCAACATCCGTCCGTCTTTCTATTGAAATCATTTTGAATTTTGCACATAAGATTTTTAGTAGGAAATATCTGTTTAGTAGGAATATATCTGTAATTGTAACTATATGCAGAAATCTTGTGTCTAAAAGAGCCCGCAAATATGGAGATACTACCACCACATGTGAAATATTTATATTAATCGATAGTACGGTCCATATAATTTAATTTTTGAAAATTAATGCTACTACTTCTCAAATGGTCCAGTCCAATTTTGGCATACTCTCATAAAGTAGCAAAATTTCCAAGCTCTAATTATGGCAACTAAATCGTACGGCACAATTTTCATAAAACAAAATTATTTAATGAGTTTTCAATCATTCCTGAAAACGTGACCGAAAATATACCTTCAACCTGTCGATTGAGGGTTAAGAATAACATTTACGGACTGAGACAATTTGATAACTACATATATAAACCAGTGAGCGGAGCAGTATAGTCAGACGGGGCCGACCACATGATACCCTACACAACTTTCATGAAAATCTATTATATTCTGAACTTGGGCAATATTTTGCGATATTTGCGCCCTCTTGACCGACTAGAGGTCAACAAATATTACTAATATTCAGTACAGCTCTTCTAATTATTTGTCCAGATTCCCTTCACCGTGGATTGTGTTGTGATGTTCGGCTTTCAATTGCGGCCTATAAATCGACTCGAAAAAAATACAAAAAATTATGTTTTCGGTCCACGTCATCCCAATATTATTATCTGATCATCATCGAAAATTATAAGCGTTATCCTTGTCCATAACTGGAACCTCATGGAGCATTTAAAAGTCATCTGCGCTATATTTCCGCCTTCCAGTGTGGTAATGGTTTACTAAATAATATCTGAATACGTAAGTACCTGCAAATATTTACATGTAAATCCCACATCCGGGTACATACGACAATATAATTGGTATCAATTTAAAGGTCAACCACTCCTCTTGGATATGCTATCAACTTCTCGGGTCTTTGTTATTCAGGTGTAAATATATATGCTATAAAATACAAATTTTGTCATTTTTCACACAAAAGGGACGAAAAACGACAAATTTTTGACCCGCTAAATATTGACCGATCTTTGGGCCATAATGGCGGCTTGTGGAGCGACCAGAAAAACCGACAAAAATAAAGTTTTTGGTACATTTCATCCTCTAAATATTAACCGATCTTTTCCAAAAACAATAGGGGTCTTCATTGGCCAGAACCCATCATACATGCAAAATTTCGTGAAGATTGGTCCATAACTGTGACCTGTATCGTGTTTCCAAATTATAATGGACAGACGGACGGACACACATGTCTAGATCGACTCAGCTAGTCGAGATATGACGATCGGTATACTTAAAGGTGGGTCTAGGACCAATATTTCGCGGCGTTGCAAACTTTTGGGGCTACACAAAGCTATAATGCCCTGACAACATAGTTGTGTAGGGTATAAAAACGTTGATATTTATTTTAAAAATCATACAGCCTTCCCAAGATTCTAGAAGCACCCGGGCTATGAAAGTATAAAGAGAAAATTGAGAAAAACGACATATTGAAAATTTGTTAAGGGAGTGGATCCATAAGACCCATTTCGGAATCTATCTAGATTTAGCATTTTTTAAAGTTTTATTCCCTTTGGAGAGTAACTACATGTGCCCAAGTAATGTAGATTTGGTAAAAATACTATTTTTGAGCGAAGTGCGGTCAAATCGCATAATTAACAAGATTCGTATTTGATTAACAGATTTCACAAATTTTACTACAAGGAATGGAGTTTTAAATACGATTTCACGAATTCAAAGAAAGTTTGACAAAAATATAACGATGTGTATAGTTGAAAATATGGACCGTTTGTCGGGAAGGTACCAGAAGGAGTAACCCCCTTTGAATACGGCAAAAATTGTATCAAACGGATCCAACGGACGGATATTGTAAATTAATTTTTCAACAATTTGTTTCAACAATTTGTTTTCAACAATTTGTCGGATGAAACTATATATGGGAGCTATATGTAAATCTGTACCGATTCCAACAAAACTCTGCATACATCAATTTGGACCTAATTTAGTACTCTGTGCAAAATTGTATCTAAATCGGACCAACATTTGCAGAAAGGAGTTCCATTTACATAAAATCGGACGAAACTATATATGGGAGCTATATCTAAATCTGAATCGATTCCAACGAAACTTCGCATACATAGATTTGTACCTAATACAGTACGGTATGCGAAATTGTGTTCCAATCAGCCTAAATTTGACGCTTTGGTGCTCCATTAACATAAAATGGGACGACTCTATATGTGGAAGCTATATCTAAATCCGAACCTATTTCAAAAAAAACTTGGCATATATTAATTTAGACCTAATCCAATACTCTGTGCAAAATCTTGTCTCGATCGGACCAATTTTGGGAGTTTGGTGCACCAATTACATAAAATCGGACGAAACTATTTATGGGAGCTATATCTAAATCTGAGCCGATTTTTCCTAATTTCAATTGGGTTTGTCCTTGAGCCAAATTAGTGACATGTGCCAAATTTCATTCAAATCGGATTATAAATGCGACCTGTACTTTGTTCACAAAAAAAAAACATGGACGGACGGACAGACGGACATGCATAAATCGACTCAGAAAGTGATTCTATGCGTATTCTCACAAGGAACTACGGGTCTATCTCGATTCCTTTTGCCTGTTACAAACATATGCACAAATACATTATACCCTGTACCACAGTGTGGTGAAGGGAATCCCCCATATAACGCCGCATTCCTAATGTCTATATTTTAAGCAACTTGGGCACGTGTTTCAACCAAATTAGCTGTAATTTTATATATTGTATTCTCAATGTGTTGAAGATCTCCCTATCAGAAAATAATGAATATTAGTATATGGTTTGATATAGCTTCCTTAGAGTAGTACCATCACATATTCCGATGTGGCTTATGGAAAGCTGACTTATATATATAAGACCAGTTGTTGTCATTGGTCTACGTACGTCCAAGTTTTGATATAATATCCACATAAAAGTTCCACCACTTTTTCGATATTCGGTACTACCACATAAGGGAATAACATAGTCCCCATATAAATATCCCGATTGACTTTAGGAATTTTGACTGGGCATCACGTGGTGGAACGTGTTATGAACAACCTGTTAGCACACACTGCAACAACTTGATCCCCATTTAATGGACCCGGCCAGTTTAATGAATTTAGAATAAACATGGCGAAGAAGTTCATCCTGAAACATTTTAACCACATTTTTACGTGCGGTGTAGATAGATCTGATGTGTATTCTAGTGCTTAAGTTGTTAAGGTCATATATGAATTACTATTCGAAGTTCAGTAAAAACTTGGACTGGTGTAGCCATAAATATCTTGTCTCAGCAGTCGTGGTTGAAATAAAAACTAAACAATAAAAACAAACAAATTTTAATGAATTGAAATTTCATATTAAAAAAGTGTCCTAACCTCATTATGATGTCGATTAACCTTATCATGAAATGACAAACGCATTATCCGGGACAATAATTGCGTATACACATTCTTATATTCCTAACTTCATGTTTTCTTAATTAACCGACACAGAATTATGCGAATGATGTTTCATTGTACATATGGATGTAGACTGCGATGCGAAAATCCATTCAATTAGTAAGTGTTTCCGATAAATAGAGCAATTGCTATTTTAAGTCTTGCCTCAACTAGCTTGGTTTGTATGAGCATACTTCTGTCCTCAAATGAATGCCATTAAAGTTATTTTATTAACTGTACTCGTGCTGTTGTTATGGTGCAGCATAATCCTCTTCAATTCGGTCATTCGTTCGTTCATTCGTCCGTTCAGAAGAAGCGTAAAATTGTTAATTTGTTTACGCATTAGCAACTGGCATGTTCCGTTCAGTTCAGCAAGCGAATGAATTCAATGCCGATTGTGGTTTTTCAAAACCATGTCCACGTTTCAAATGTGTGTTACGTTTGCAAAAGTGCATGCTACTGGCAGGAATGCTACAGAGATGACAATTTTGATGTTGCAAATTGACAAAGAATTTTATTATTTTTTTTTAATATATAGGAGAAATATATATTTCAGAATATTTGTTTGTTTGTAATGTCCTCCCTCACAACATTTATCAATTAAATATTATAATGATTCCTTTTATACTTTTCAGTATCACTGCAATCTCTACTTGCTTACCATTCCACTTCATTTGTTCAATCAATTTACCTCAGGATTTGGTAATGGTCGGTACTA